GGGGGGGAAGGGGGGGGTGGTTGCGACAGGGCGGGGGGGTGTACTCATAGTCGTGCATGCCGTAGTCGTTAGACCATTGACCTCGCATCCCTACAAAGCCGGGACGGAGCACGCCGGGTTCTCACCGGACCAGGCTCTCACATCACCAAGCGCGAAGCGCCGTGAGATATTCGGCGAGTCGCATGAAGGGTGCGCTGCATCCTGCTAAGGGTGTTCGGCATCTTGTGCTTACTTCCTTGCGTACGGATGACAGCTGCGTATGAATTAATTTATTTTCTGGTGCTTTCACTTCCAGAGACAGTTGTAAGCACTGTGTAACTGCCTCGAGGGTGCTTGACCATTTTAACACAACGTGGTGCGATCATCCCCCTTGCGCGGAGCGAGGGTTCTCCACCCCGCACAACATGATCTACTCGACCACCATTATGGTTACCGCCAAAAATAAAAACAGAGGTAAAAAAAAAAAAACGGTAACCTGGTTGCCGAGTTCACGAAGTGAATTGGCTTGTTTTACAACGTCGTTGCCAAGCGACGAAAACCCAACCCCATCGGGGTTGGGTTTTGCGACAGGGGCAAGGGAAAAACAAGCACACAACAAAAACGCAACAGCGTAAGCAGAGGCATAAACGACGACGACAACAACAACAACAACAACAACAACAACAATGGCGATGGCAACAACAGTGAAGACAACGATGACGACCATGACAACGATACCGTTTATGACACAAGATAACACACCCCCTGGACCGATTTTCAAAGCTCGATTACTCCACGACTAAGAGGATGCATAAACGAAACGGGACACTTTCGAGAAGCTCTCGACGACACGGTTTCAACGCCACCGTTTTCGGCGCTGTGACTGTTCCGGCAGTTGAGAAATCGAGCTTCGAAAATCAGTCAAGGGGGTGTATTATCTTGGTGGCTACCAAAAAAGCGACAACAGTGGCAACAACGAAAAATCCAGCGCCATCCGAAAACACTTGGGGACGAAAAGATACCCCGGTATTGTGAACCGAGCCTACCACAATCCAGGCTCGCGATGCAAAAAAACATTCGGCGTTTCCTAGGCAAAAAGCCGTTTGCACGGGCTTGCCTGAGAGAGAGGTTCCTCCGCATCCGCCAGATGGGTGATGGACAGGGCGGAGGCCTGGGACAGCTCTACCCCGGTTTCTTGGGTCAGCTGGCCAATTTCCAAGTCCTGCGATCATCAACGGCCGCATGCGTGTTTGGGATGTGCGCCAAGCCATTGGGTAGTGTTTTAGTTCCTACGTGACGCACCACGCGAAGTCATTGATGCGACCCACGGTTAGGCATGCCTTGCAAAAAATAAAACTCCGAAGTTGTTGTTGTCATCAATAAAAAAAGGCAATTGCCAAAATAATAATAATTGTTGGAATGTTTTTGGAGGGTCAGTTGTTATTTTTCTTTTGGTCCTGAATTTCTTATTTCTCAAGGTGCGGGTGCTAGCTGTAGCCTTAGGTCTTCCACTGTATCCATAATTTCTTTTAACATACGATTCACACCTGAGGTTCGTTAACCGCCGGGTCTGCCAGAGTCTCCAGGGCTGCGGTGGACGCTGCGGGGCTGGCAACTTCCGCGACACCACCGCCGCCAATGACGCCGACCTCCCTCCGAGCCTGCAAGAATTCAAGCGTGCCAGACCAGAAGCAGCAGCAGCAGCAGCAGCAGCAGCAGCAGCAGCAGCAGCAGCGTTTTTCCTTTGTAGAGGCGGTAGGTATATTTCGAACTGGGTGAAATTCTTGCGTCGTGAACTTTTGGCTGTGCGTGTTTCATTGCTATTGCCGCTGTTGTTGTTGTGTTCGCCTTGGACGTCAGATCACACGGACGTCATACCGTTTTACGGGCATCGTCGACACACTAACGTAGCCGGAGTGCATGCTGAAATGGACGTAATGCCAACCCTAACGCTCCCGTGTGGGAAAAGAAGATGAGCACCGGGAAAGAGGAGCGCGATGCTTGAAACACCGACGACCAGCCCGCGGCGTCAGTTGGACCACTACGCTCGATAGAAGGCACTGAGCACAGATCGGAACGTTTTCTTTGGGGTGTGCACAACAAGGACAACAACAACAACAACAACAACAACAACAACAACAACAACAACAACGTAAAAAATTCCGATGACAAGAGAAGGCCATGCCGAGGCCGCACCCCCACTCGTCCAACACCCACCAACAAAAAAAAGTCTACAAGAAAAAGCCGCCCGCACCTGCTGCTGCTGGTGCTGTTGGCCCGGCGCCAATTGCAGCTGCTGCAACTGCTGCTGCTTAGTCGGCTGCGACTGCGTCAGCTGAGAGAAGCTCTGCAGGGAGTTGTCCTCGGTGCGGTACCTGTCTATGATCGCCTGCTGCCGCTTGTAGTCCCGCGCAAGCTCCACCATGGCGGCGTTGCCCTCCTCGAGCATCCTCTACGCAGGAGGAAGTCACCAGCACCCGCGTCCGCAGCGGCATCAGTCGGTGCAACCAGCACACCAGCATCGTTATCGGCAGCATCAGCGGCAGAAGCGGGGCGCACCCGCAGCAGCAAGCGACATCAGCGTCAGCAACGGCAGCCGTGGTTGGGTTTGGCGGTTGTGGTTAGCGAGAGAAAGAACATGCCCCCTGAGTTCGCCTATTCTCGCGAAGAAACGTGGGGTTGAAGGCATGCCACCAAGAATGACATAAAAGTGGCCGGCCGCTACATCAGATGGGTTGATCGACAACTCCATGCCCCCGCCCCCCGCCCCACCCCAATCAAAACCGCGCTATACACATGGGCAGAGGACACGGAAAGCACAAAGGGAACCCCTGCAAACGCCGAACATCAAAGAAAACTTCCCGTAGGTTTTGCGGATCTGGTTTACGTAGCGTGTCCCTTAAACCACACGTGCTGCTGCTGCCAACACCAACGGGTGCAGTTTAAATATTTAGTCCGAGGTCGAAAAAAAACCTAACCGTTGCTGACAACCCACCCTAACCTTTGCCACACCAAACAACAGTAACAACAGCAACAACAACAACAGCAACAACAACAAAAACAGCCCGCTCACCCTTGCTTGGGACAGCTCCGCCTCCATCCTCGTGCGGTACTCCTTGTGAGTCTCCGGGTTTCGAATGTACTTCTTCTTTTTCTTGGGAGGGGGCGACGCCGACGGCACCCCCCCTGCCCCGCCCCCCTCACTCGCCTCCGTCTTCACAACTCCTCCGCCGCCTCCACCACCACGCCCCCCTCCCTCGTCACCACCCCGGCCCCCCCCCTTCTCCCAGGCTTTCGCACCTCCCCCNTCCACCACCACGCCCCCCTCCCTCGTCACCACCCCGGCCCCCCCCCTTCTCCGAGGCTTTCGCACCTCCCCCTCCTCCCCTGCGATTCTTCGGACCCCCCGCCCCCCCCCTGCCTGCCGCTCCCGTATTCGGAGAGGAGGGGTAGGACGTGGTGCCGTTGGCTTCCACGCTCGCCATGGCCGTCGCCGTCGGAGATCTCGGAGATCGCGCCGCGGACCGCGGGCCGCTTTTAGTCGTCGTAGAACAGCAGTTCTGGGGGCCGCCGCCGCTGCTGTTCCCGGTGACAGCTGTCTTCTGCCTCTTACCGCTGCCGCCGCCGCCGCCGCCGCCGCCGCTGCAGCTGCTGTTGCTTCCGCCGCTGCTGCTGCTGCCAACAGGAGAGGTGCGAGAGGACCGGCGTCGGAGAGATTGCTTGGCGGACGTCTGGCAAGTGCTGCCTCTACCAACGTGGCTGGCGTCTTCCATGCCGACGTCCACCTCGAGGGATTGCTGGGACTCCTCGCCGCCGGTCAAGCTGCTTCCGGAGTTACCCCGCGATTGGGCACCACGGACGCTTCTACCGCCGCCGCCGCCGTCGCTGGCAGCTGCTGCTGCTATCGATGATGGAGCTCTCGAGCGTTTCATGTGCCCTCGAACCTGCGGGGCAGGGACGGCAGTATCCAGCAGTTTTCTCGCAAAAAATCCTCATATTTCACACCTCTGAGAACGATCATCCCGAACGGGAACTTGTTCATGGTTGCAGTACATATGTGTAGGAAGGATATTGGCTTGAGGTCTACTGTTGGTCCTTGATTCTCTCGACAAGACCGTCGGTTTATTTTTGTTGGGGTCATCGAGATGCCACCGCCAGAGGATCATTTTCTATTTGCTACAACCATTCTTACCATCAACTTTAACTGTGTTTTCTGTGCCTTCTCGAGAGGAAATGGCATGGCATGCTGTCTTGACGAAGAGGGGAAGCCGTGTCGATAATAACATGAGGCGGCCGACGCCTGTCTAATCGCGTTTCTCGGTAAGCTCATCACTACAGCAGTAACGGCTATTTGTAGGTAAAAGCGCCCCGTTCGAAGCTCCCAGGCCAACATTCGTCACCCAGTGCTAGACAATCGCAGTTGCTACAATAGTTGTGTTGTGAAACATGGTTGCGTATCTTCACGCACGGGTGCAAGTGTGCGATCACCATGGCTACTGCTGTTATGCAATGCACGGGTGCAAGCGCATGATTGCAAGTTGCCAAAACACAACACATTTCATGTGCCATGTTGCCGCAGAACACCGGTACGAGCACCCGATGCGGTGTGTTTACCGAAACCTGACATGGCTGCCAGTAACTTGGCGGCCAACTAATTTTTTTGTCTCTCTCTGCCCGTTTCGGGAGGGTCAGTAAGTAGTGCTGCGGTTGAGCACAGCAGTGGGGGGGAAGAAGTAAGCACATCATCCCAGCACCAGTTGCAGCAGCCTCCAAAACCAACTACCAGCAAGCTCGCCGCGTGTGTGTCCCTGTGGGTGTACATGTATGTCGGTCCGCCAAAAAAAGGAGACAGACAGACTCGACGACACTGATGTATGTACCTGTCAGTACAGCAGAGCTTCTGCACACCACGCCCCATCCGCTGGTCAAACCAGGAGATCGCACAACCCGTGGTACAAGCAGCGCCCGCGGGTCTAAACACGGCCCGCTGCTGAAGTGCTTGCTATTGGGCAAAGCCGGGGCGTGTTTTAGCCGAAACAGGTCTCACAAGAGGAGAATTGTGTTCAGGCACCAAAAAACGCTGCTACTTGCTGTGAGGGGAAGTATGGGCCCTGACTGCTGCCTGGTCAACCCCCCGACCCTTTGGCAGCTAAGGATGACCAACGAAGTTCGGCAGCAGAGAGCTGGTAGACAGCCAAGATAGGGGCCTGACGCCCTCTTCAAAGTACCAGCAACAGCAGCCCTGCGGCAGCACACCGGCGACGATTGACCAAAAAATGGCGCCATATTCGTGGCCCGACTTTTCATGCTGCACAAAATTGACAGGGGGTCAACTTGTTGTTCCAAAAAACAACGTGAAGAGTTGTATGAGAGGGGAAAAAGCTCCAGCAGTCCCCTGATGTCCACAGCAGCAGCCAGCAGTAGAAAGGTGTAAAATCTTATCCCGAGATTGTAGACCCCGACAGTTGGCTCAAGCGACCCCACAAGCCCTTAGCCGAGGCACTCGGATGCACTACCTAGGCATCTGCAAAATCAAATCAAATGCTCTCCGCCCAATGATGTTCACAGTACGACTCACCAATGTCGAGGATGCACCCTACCGCTTCGTCCGTATCTCCGTATCCTCTCTTGGATTCACGCTGGCGTGTCAGGCTAGCTATCGCCTGCCTCTCTGGCCGCCTGTGTACGTAGGACGTGTGTTGTCTTGAACCGAGCGTCCAATGGTCCTCACATTTTCAACCACTCCTTTGTTTTTCCGGATCGTTCGCAGAACTCCGTTGGCCAATGGGCGCTGCCCATTCCCAATACCCCAACTTTACAGATTTCCTGTCATTTGTTCATGGTGATTGAGTGGTGATTGATCGATTTACCGTTTGCCTGTCGCAACCTCGCTCTGCCGCACATTATTTTTGCAAAGTGGACCATACATTGCTAAATCGACCCACAGCAGTACCTTTGTCGTTCGCGCATATGTATCATGTCAAACCTACCTCGCACCACGCGCATTCTCTTACTCTCTTACATGTACTTGTAGCTGCCGTGAGTGGGAGTTGTTGTGTATCACAGAGACCGTGGCACTTCAGACCCGCCTACAGCAGTAGTAACTCTGGGCAACATATCCGTGGGAGGAATGCAAGCAACTCACTCATTTTTACTCCTATGCCTCTGCAACGGGCATTTTCTGGAGAAAACGGCAGTCATAGACTTACTTTACTTACTTACTTTCCCCCTACAGAGAGGGTCTATGTTTAGACTACCACCGGTATGTGCCTAGAAAAATCACGGTCACTGCTATGCATACATAGTCTAAATCGGCAATTTCTTTCCCCCGAAAACACCAAATGAACCGGCACGAAACGGAACCCCCTCTGTAGGTATCTACAACCAAGCTCGCCTGTCGAGGGGGAGCCGTGGGCTCTGTGTCTCATATTTTAATGCATGTATCTACCCGAAGTACTCGTATACCCGAAGGGTTTTCGGGAGCATATCGACTGGTTGTACATGAAGGATGGATCACGACAGTTGGGATGTACTATGCATACTATGTGAAGTGGTAGTTTTCCTGGACCCGCCCACAGGCCACTTGATAAATTTCTAGGGCCTGGTTATTTACCCAACAAAATATACAACATTCGAAAGCTAAAGCTATGAACCAGGCAGAACCAGGGCGCCTTCCGGTATATGCCGGAGAATTGCGTCCTAGAACGAGTTTTCGTCGGTATGAAAAATGGAGACCGGTTCTAGAAACGTTTCGGCGAGACCAACCGACGACAAAAAAAACACGAAAAAAAAAAAAATCTCCCCCACATTTTTCAAGATAAACGATGCGGCGCATCCTGTTTCACCGCAAACATCGCCGACGCAAGCCTTGTTCTCCACGGCAATCGACTCCGCTTGGTCGAATTACATACAGAGGAGACCACTCTCGAGGTCATCAGACCTAATCTCGTTCTAGGACGGCCGTCCCGACTTGGGCCTGGCCGTGGCTCGTGGCAGCCTCATGGAGGTAGACCGCACAATCGAAATCCGAGGGGAAGAGAGGGTAGTGAGACAGCAGCGGAAGAACCACATCCGCGGGATACTGCTAATCAGCCAGCTGTTGAGAAAGGGTACCACCGAGGCAGCTGGAAAACCTGTGCAATCTGTGGTTGCTGATGAAGTTGAGCTCCTCGAAAAGGGTAGAGAGCACGTTGAAGGCATCCGAGAGAGAGCATCGAAACGCGGGAAACGACAGCCTGCTGCTGCTGCTGCTGCTTCATCTGCTGCGGCGAAGAAGGCGAAGCGCAAGGGGGCGGACGCAGCTCTCTCCGACCCTCTAGCATTGGCTCATGATGGCGGGACCAGAAGCGGTGCTACCCCAGAGACTTCGAGGGAGGAAGCGGTGAGTTTTGAGTCACTTCTGAGGTGCTGCTGAAAGGTGTTCCAGAGTGCTTGATTGACTGCTTTACTTTGCGCGCCAGTTCGTGCCAGCTGCTCTGTTCTTGAATTTGAAATTTGGTACACGCGCTGCCCGTCCTCTTTGCCCCCAAGAATTGAGGTCCATTCCACCACGTCGATATCTTAAGCACAGAAAGCGCATTAAAAGTTGCACGGGTTTGGCGACTGCTGTAACTGCTGCAATGACGCTGCTACCGTGGTGTTTATTTGCCGCTCACTCATATGTTCCCCCGACTCCTCCAAAAACTACTGATACGTTGTACGCAGGTTGCGGAGGAGCGTCGTTCCAGCGCGATGGATTTGATGCAGAACGACCCCGTGTTGATGGAGCGAGTACGGGCCATGCTGGATGCTGGCGCGGCAGAGCAGGCAGCAGCTAAGGTGGCGGCGATCGACGCGGCCAACACTCGTGCACTCCGCGCGTCGTTGCAAGCGCTGAAGCAGCACTGCAACAGCTCGATAGGGTGGACCACTTACCAGACAGCGCTCGCTGTAGCAGCCGGAGCGGGAGAGCACACGTGTACTGACACGGACGTGTGCCACCCCGGCCAGCGGTGCAAGCCCGTTGAGTCTGGTGGAGTGAGCCTTGCCGAGCGAGCTAACAGTCTCGGCATTCGGCACGAGACTTTCAGCGACGCACGGTGGCGGATGCACAACACGAACCACGACATCGCCCCCAAGATCGCTGCGAGTGAGGGATGCTACGTGTACAACGAGCGCAAGACACGGAGTGACGTGACGAATCCCGAGGTCATGGCTCTCGCCAGGGCTTTCTGGCACTCCGACGACGTTTCCCGTGCAACAGGGAACTCAGGCAAGTTGCTGCGTTGCGTTGCTGTTACCGTAGTCTCGGTTGTATGCGGCAGTTGTGTTTTATGTTGCGAAGGTCTACCGCTACGTTTGTTGTACTACACGGCCACACGGTGCTGTGAACTGCAATACACCCGTTCGTTTGTCCACATTACAGATGTGATGGAGTCTCTTAGAGAAAAAAACGTTTGGTTTCGCCCCCTGCAGGAGCCAGGGACATGTACAAGGAGTCTAAGAAGAGAGACGCACCCTCTCACCCTCGGAGACAGCTCATGCACAAGGGAGACAGTGTGTGGAGGATGTTCCTCGAGAGCCGGCGGTACTTGGCGCTGAAGTCAAGGCTACTTGAGCAGGACAGCAACTTCACCGACCCTGGCAGGACGACGTTTCTGTCAACGCGGTGCGGGTGTTTAGGTGGGTCAATCTGGTTCTACGGTTAGAGTGCCCAAAACGTGTACCTCTGGTACCTGATAAACCCGATCAATGTTGCTGACGTATGGCTTTGTTGACGAGGAATAAGAGCTGACGTTTTTGTTCTCCTCTGCTTTTGGTCTGTTGCGATGTTTCACCGCCCCTTTTCAGTGGACCCAACGGCATCGCAGTGTGCGTGTCAGATCCACACGCAGCAGACGTTGTATCTCGAGGCCCTTTCGTTCTTGATGGGGTCGATACACCAAGACTGCGACTGTGAGTGTAACTGGTGTGACGATCTTGGTTGTAAGAGGTGGTCTGTCATGTGCCAGGACCTGAGCAAGTTTTCTGACGCTCTGGCGTGCGAGAAGGTAAACTTGCTGGAGGGGGATTCCGACGGGGGATTTGAGTTTTGGGGTCGGAAACCGGCATGCGCTGCGATGAAGTGTTCCGAGTGCGGGTTCGGAAAGCCTGGAGGCATCCCGACCAACTGCACCGCTATTGCGAAAAACAGAGAGCGGGTAGTAGCATGGATTCGCTTCGAAGACCAAACCATGCCTGACGGCAAGGTGCACAAGAAGCAGCAGCTACCCCAGACGGGGAAGCTCGAAGACCTGTGGGACGAGTTCATGGCACACTCCGTGAAGGCGAGTTCAACAATAGTATGCCCGGCAGGTTTACACTGTTGACTATTCTAGTCAATAAGGAGCGCTCTTTGTAGCGATTCATAATAACATGTCTATTGACGACACAATATCATATCTATTGCCAACCCATCCCCTGTTCACTTTCCCTTCCTTCCATTCCAGTACATGGAGCACCATGCCTTTAGCCAAGTGGCAGCGCCAAGCCCACAAGATGTGCATGGCTACACTTCGTCAGGGCGAGCTGTTGATCGAGACGGACTTCATCGAGAAGTACAGGCATGAAGCACGCGTCGTGCTGACATGTGCTACCGCACCAACAACGACCATGATGGTGGCCCTTGTACATCACAGCCCCGACAACCGTGGGGAGCACGAAACAGACGCTTGGATTTTTTTGTCCAGCGATCCGAACCATGACTTCGACTTCCATCACGCAGCGATGGAGGTCGTTGTTGCGCACTACACGACGGGACCGAAGTCTGCGGCCACCGCTGGGAGTGCGGCCCCACGAGTGCACATGTTTACGGACGGGTGCGGCAAGCAGTACAAGGGGAAGCGGAACTTTCGAGCAGTGGCGCAGAGCCTGAGGAGGCTTGGTGTCCGCATTTTGCACAACTTCGCCGTCACTTCTCACTTCAAGGGCACGCATGATGGCATCGGGGCGCTCATGAAGCGCCTACTTCGGAACGCGGAGATGCATGGCACGCGTATCCCCGACGTCGACGTCGCGCACGAGTTTCTTCTAGGCTACGCCGTGGAGGCGGACAAGGCGCGTGAAGGCCACTTCACAACCTGGTCCCCTTACCGGATCAAGAGCTTCGAGGTCAGGAAGTTTGGCCCCAAGGAAATTCCTCGCCCACCGATAGATCTGACGGGGATCCCTGGAAGTTCCAAGCTGTACTTTTTCACGGGAACAGAGGACGAGCAGGAGGACGTGCAGGATACCTTTAGTCTTGTGTGGGCTACTAGTGTGGGGGTGCAGACAGACGATTTTGTGGTGGGAGCGGCCGGAGACAAGGTGTTGACGGCTAGGAAGTGGGTGGTAGACGAGTCCAGGGCAAGGAAATGGGCCGCCCCCAAGAAGTTCACCAGATCTTGGAAGTTGCGGGTTCGGGGCGCATCGTGCTACTGCTCGACTTGCCGAATAGGCTGCTACGGTGACTGCATGGTAGCGAAGGTGTACCCCGACTTGGTTGGCGAGGTGATGGAGAAGTCGGGAAAAGAGATGGTTGGGAGACGCACGCTTGGGACTCAATTGACCGGCGTTATTCTTCCGGTCATATCTTCGGACGAGTCCCCAGTGGCGCCTACGCTTGACGAGAGCATGGGGGAGGTGGGTGGGGGAGGGGAGAAGGAAGATGAGGGAGAGGAGGAGGACGATGAGGGGGAGGAGGAGGAGGAGGAGGAGGGGGAGGAGGAGGGGGAGCGGGAGGAAGCGCAATACGTAAGCTCAAGAGGTCGCGTAAGTATCGCGAAGAAGAGGTTCCCGGAGGTGGGCTAGGGATGGATGGATGTGTTGGCTGCCAACCACAAGAATGGAACTCGTCGACGTTTGTTGTTCTTCTTGCTTTTTCTGGTGTGGTGTCGAACGCAACGTTTGCAAGTATTGTGCGCTACCCTTTACTCTTGGTGGTAATAATATGGGCAAATCCCCGTTTTGTCCCCGGGGGGGGACACAAATTTCGTGTCCCCTGGTGGGAAGTGGCCAGTAAAATGTGCAAAAACTGTAGGGTTTGTTCTACCGGAACAACGGCCTAAAAAGTGCATAAAATGGGCAAGATATGGGCAAATCCCCGTTTTGTCCCCGGGGGGGGACATGAAGTTCGTGTCCCCTGGTCGGAAGTGGCCAGCAAAGTTTGCAAAAATTGTAGGGTTTGTTCTACCGGAACAGCGGTCAAAAAAGCGCTTAAAATGGGCAAGATATGGGCAAATCCCCGTTTTGTCCCCGGGGGGGGACAGAAAGTTCGTGTCCCCTGATTTGCGTGTCCCTATACATTGAGTAAGACAAATCACCAAGTTTCGCTGAAAACCCACCTTCCCAACCCCGGATTAAAAATCTGAGACCGAATATCGCATCTACACACCGAGAGCAACCCACAACTGAATTTTCAGAGCTTAGGTGGTTTGGCAACATTATCAATCTCAACCCCTCCCCGGCATATCCCGGAAGGCGCCCAGGGCTTTCGAATGAACCCACTTTTAGCTTTCACAGACACCCTTTTGGGTGACGAGTTATTTATGCCGAAAATACCGTTTCACCAAAAACGCGGCGGAACCGGTAAATTACGATTTGTCGTGCCCCCACCACCGCTGTACAGCAGTGCAGAAGCACTATCCGCAAGGCTTGCCATCACTCCTCTCGAGGGACAGACCGTCGACGACGTGGCGGCCGCAGTGGTGGAAGCATGCCAGGAGTTTGGAGTAGAGATGCGACGCTGTGATTCCAAGAAAAGCAAGGGAGAGGCTGGCGGTCGTCTCGTGGTGGTTGGACTAGCGTGCAAGCACGCCATGCCGAATCGTCAGAAGGAGTACAGGCAGGGAGATGCAGGTAAGGTCCTCAAAACCTATACTTGTCCGTGCGCACATGCTCTCCGCCTCCCCCCTCCTCCCCTCCCCGGGGGAGGCCGAGGCCCGCAAGTGCAGTTAACCCTCGAAAAAACCACCCAACAACGACGGATATACGGTCCCTAGCACCGTGTAGGAGAGGATCCTGAGTTTGGCGGTCGGGAGTTACCGCGGTCACGAGATCGAGGTAGGTCGTGATAAGCCAACTTGGAGACAGCTGCCGATGGGTTTGAACCCAAATGCCCCGGTTTGGACACCGGGGCAAGGCAGCGGTGGAGAGCACGGAGAGGGTGGCGGGATGATCGCACACCGTGTGGGTAAGCACCCAACAGGGGGACGGAAAGGGTCCAGAGCTGGAGAGCCACGCCGCTCCGGGACAGGAAGACACCTCGCTGGGAAAGGCAAGCACCGGGTTAACTCTTACATTAACCCGAGGATCCGCAGAGCAATAAAAATAAAGAAAATAAAAAAAGGAAGGAAGAAGAGGAGGAG